GTAAATAACAGGCTGTCCAAATCTACCTCCTGGAAAGTACTCACAWAGACATGGATCTGTCTCCAGAAGGAGCCAGAGGACAGAAAACTTGGGTTGGTAAGCCCGTCAACAAAACCTTAGTCCCTACCTGCCACAGCTAAATGTGAAACAAAACAAAGGAGCACTAGATGTGATTTAATATTCTCAGTTTAAAGACAAAGAATACAATCTAATCCTCTGTGTCTCATTCTTTTCCCTCTGGATTAAAATAAAATGATCTGRTGTGTTTAATTCTTGTCTGGATCTGCATCAGCTGATCTGGAAGTGACAGCTCAATCCCTTCATCCCCGACTCCCGCTTCCCGTTTAAAAAGTCCGACAAAAGCTCGCCCTCTGATCTCCATCTCTTGTCAGAGTCCATGACACGCCGGTGTCCTTGACAGGMAAACACGCAGCGGCATGTCAGCGCTAATCCTCCGGCACCTCTGGATAAGCTCCACTAGCTCATCGGGTCACCAGTATTTACTGAAGACAACCTGCTGTGACCAACACAAGTAAAAAAAAGGACTTTTTTTCTGCTGGTCTAAATGTTCATGAAGAAATAGAACTGTCCTCTTTTATTTTAATAAAATACAACTGCTTTTGACTGAGAATATCTCTGATGTCCGAGTAACCTCTTTGAGTCAGTCTCTGACAGCTGGCAAACAGAACTGCTCCACTTCAGCCAGACTGGGTTCATGTCTCTGACAGTGCCAGCTGAGTGATCCCTCAGTCCTCTACCACTCTGGCCCTTCACCAAAAAAAAAAAAAAAAAAAAACAAAACTTTGTGCTGGTAATTAGGACAGATAGAAAGTGAGAGCAAAGGAAGAGTTAATGTGATTTCTTTACTTTTTTTTGTGACAAACTTAGTTTAGACTTTGCAGCAGTCTGACATAAACAAGGATTTTATGAGATGGATTTCAAACTTAAACTTGAGTGAACTTTTTTTTTCTCGCATCATTATAGAGAAWTTTTTTAACAGTATTGCTTCAGTTCATAAAAAGTTTTCAGGCTCTTTCTCTCCTAAGGTCCCACCACAGCATGTCAATTATTTTTGAGGTTTTGAATTTGCAACACTGACTGTTTTGTTAATTTTTTTTTTTTTTACAATATTCTGTTGCAGATTTGCTGCTGAGTTCGGGATCGTCGGTTTGCTGCGTTACCCAATTGGGGCCGATCGAGCTTCAGCTGCTGGACAGATGGCCTCACATTTGACTCCAGAATACTTTGATGTACTGCAAAGTACTCTGATTCTGTGATGTAGAGCAGTGGTTCTCAGCTGGTGGGTCACGAYACAAAAGTGGGTCACAGATCCGTCTTCAAAGGGACATGGGCCTTTTGTCTGGACAAAAACCCTGTCCATTTATTTTATCTCATYTTCCTGTTGTCATATCTGGGTGGATATTCTATCATTCTTTCTGCGCCATCTTTAAATTCAGTAGATTGGAAAAGTTGAAACTTTTTCTTGAGCGGGGTCAGGGCGTGTCATGAGCTACTGGTACGGAGTTTGTAGGGAAATTTGGAATTAAATTCTCCTTTTTCACATTTAAATCATCCAGTGGGATCTATAGAAAGTAGAACTACAATGCTTTGGTCTCAATTCCTCCTTGTTGTAACTCCACAAGCCCCTCTTTCACCCCTTATCTAAGGTGTGTCTCAAAACAAYTCGTTTTGAGGCTGTCTCTTTGAAAGCACCTAATTTGAATTTAAACTCCGCCCCCCTCCTGCCTCCAAACCAGTCCATTCTAATTTTATAGAGGGTTTTATGACTATATTTTGTATTTTGTAAGTTTAGACCTAATTTGGCAGTTCCAACACAAATAGTTTGCCATAATAGTTCAGAAAATGTAATAGAAAACAGAGAAAACTGAACAGGTTGAAAAATATGACTCAAATAGAATATAAAGATATCTATGCACCACCTGGAGAGACTAAATTAAATTTTTCTGCACTCCTAGAGACTCCAAGTACACAACAAAATGCATATAATGGCTAAAAAGGTGGATTTTGCACTTTGTTCTTTTAAAGACAAAGTTCTTTTTGTGTATTAAAATTTAGTCCCATCCGTCCAAAATAACCTGAATTTAATGTGTTGTTTCCTAGGCAAAAAATATATACTTAAGTATATTTTAAATATACTGCATTTTACAGAAATATATTTAATATATTATCAATAGAATATACTTTTAATAATTATATTCAAAATGTAAAAAAGTATTTTTCAAAAACCATACTTCAGATATGTTGTTTTAAAATATATTTCAAGTACACTTTATAAAAATATATTTTATTAAATACACTTTACATTTACCTTAAAATATATTAATTAAACTATACGTTATATATGTATGTTGTTTTAAATATATACTTAGTACACTTTAAGTGTATAGACAAAGCTATAAATTTAAAGTGTACTAGTATACTTGAAGTTGTTCCATTTTAGTATTTAAAAGTATACTTAATACACTTAAAATTGTGCTTTTGTGCAATTTAAATACAACTTAAGTATATTTAGTATTAAATTAGTTGTTCCAAAATAGCACTCTTTAAGCACAGTATACTGATGATTAGTGCGGCTTCAAGTATACTAAAGTATACTTAGATTTAGTATACTTACTATATTATTTTTTTCGCCTGGGTTGTTCATAAGCAACCCAAATTAACTTACTGATGATCAGATCCTTCAAAAGGTAACACTTATCTTCTCTGACTGATTTTTTAGTGCATTTAATTACCTCATTTTAATATACTGTATGATAAATATATATTTTTTACTGCAGGTTGATATGTAAAGCTGTAAACTTAAATGAGGGTGCAGACTTTATTTAGACCATGACTGCAGGCTGGAATCAAAGAAAAGCCRTGCTGACTTCTACAAAAACAGCTTTGATGCTTGTCATGTCTGATGCAAAACCAGTGAGGATGCTGCAGGATTTATTCGCCTTCAAAGCCTGTTTTCTCATTCCAAACCACACCATAAATTAGAAACTATGTTTGGTCAATGAAACCTCGTAGAAGTCAGAGAGTGTGAAAGTATCGTGTGGTTTTTATCATTTCCATAAAGCAGATGAAAAAAAAAACAAAGGAAATGGAAAAAAATAATACACAAACAGAACATTTTAAATTAAGTGGCTTGCTGTGATTCAGCCTTGAAATCCAGTTGCATTTATGCAATTACTGTAGTCATCATGCTCAATACTCAGAGTTGTTTGGCTTTCATTCTAGCTTGGCTGTTTCACGTCAATGTGACTTCTCATTTTGTGAGTGGCTTTCATTTAAATGGTTTGAAATCCATCATGCACGTTCAGATGCAGGCTGTTTAAAATTCAGCTGACTCATGTTTCTTCTTAAATACAAACACAAAACAATACAAGTAAATAGTCAAAGTAAAGTCACTATTTTTGGCTGCGTAACACAATATACCCGTGAACAGAAATAAAAGATGAATAAGGATGTTTTGGTTTCACAGTGTCACTTTTGAACGTGTTTCAGAGCGCTGTGGATGATTTAATGCTTTGTAACACACGGAGATGACATAAAAGCAAAGGTGAGCTGACTCGGAGGAGTCTGCTGAAATAAAACCACAGGTATTGCCAAATTATCAAGCTCATGCTGTGTTCAGCAGCCCTGTAATGCTGCCCGGGGAAAAAAAAAAGATTAGAAATAAATCTTTCAAAAAATAATACTGCGGTGAAGAAAACAGAAAGTCCACCTTCTACGTTTTGTCCAGATCCACTTGTGTTAAACTTCAGTATTGGTTGGGGGGGTGACCAATAAACCCTATTTTACAGATCCGATTTGGAAACACAAACACGCGCTCAAACCTTTAATTAACCTCCGCTGAACATGTGACAAATCCAGAGCTGCTTTCTTTCTCACCAGCGCGCTGTTTGATTTGCCCTCRCTGCTGCTCCTTTTGTTGCAGCAGGTTTGAAGACTACATCAGCGAGGGAGCTGAAAATGTGCATGAATTAAAATAATTTATCATATTCTGTCAGGTGCTTTTAGAATACACTGTCTGCGCTTTTAGATTACGTATGATCATCTATCATAAGGAACAGATCTTTCTTTCAGTGTCAGCACCAGGACAACGGCTGGATCTCACTTTGGCTCTGAGTATCAGCTGCTCTTAAAAGCAGAACTGAAATGACTGCATTATTATAATAATATAAGCCTCATTAATAAAATTATTTCCACAAAAATGATCACTGATAAATGAGTGCTTGTGAGGCTGTCCTTGGCCGATTTTATGGAATAAAAACACAAATGTTAAATTAAATGGAGTAATTTCATCTAAAATAATACTAAAAATCAAAAAAAAAATTTTGAGAAATCAGGTTGTCCAATTAAAATAATTAATAGAATTCATTTGAAACAAACAAAAAAAAAAAACAGATGTCTACCTCAAGACGGCCAATATTAGCTGACAGCAATGAGGAAAACCTGTTCATGTTAACAAGCGATGTGGACTGAAGCAGCTCTGGGAGGTGGGGGATCCATGAGAATGCTACTCTGGAAGATTTTGTAAAAGATCTACTGAAAACTATGCATTTTCCAGCCATTTGAAGAGAATTTTAGTCTGTAGATTTTTACTAAATTCTTCACAATCAACTATATTCTGATAAAAAAGTTCTAAACTATTTATTTCATCACCCATTTGTGGCGCCCCTCCTAGATGGATGGAACCCTTAGTATTTCCACTGCCTACATCTTCCCTGAAAGAAGATTTAACATTTATGTTTTTAAGCCTCATCATAAAAAAACATTTGACTTTTAATACAAAATGACACATTTTGCATCAAAGTTTTAATTTATATTTTATGGTTTTTAATTGTTTTTTAATGTTTCTTGTGTTATCTTATTTTTTGTGCAGCATTTGTTGCAACAGTTTTTTTTTATAAAATGTGCTTTATAATTAAAACTGATTTAATTTTATAACTGAGGAAAACGCACAAAATAATAATGATTGTAATGTCTATTACCTCAGGTTTCCATGGTAACTTCTTGTGATGCTGGCTAAGGAACTTCCTGATGTGGGTGTGGTCTCGGCCCTCAGCCCCTGCAGTGATTGGCTCGTCATCCTTGAAAGAATTAAATAAAAAACAAACAAACAAACTCAATCCTCTAAACGACACAAACGAAGACAAAAGATGCACTGATGAAGAAGAAGACAAATTAATTGTTATTCATTGTCTCAGCAGCTAAAGGCTAAAGTTATCTATTATTATCTGTTCACGCAGGCATCATCGATCAGTCCGTCCATTTTTAAAGGTTATTTGACTCATCGTGTGCTACATACAGTAACTGATACATGAGATACAGAAACATTATTAGCTTCAACTAATTTATTGAAACTGCAGGAACTTTGACCAAAAGGCAACAGATAATGTGCGCGCACGCACACACACACACACACACACACACACACACACACACACATACACAATAAAAGATCAAGCCAAGAAAACAGAGGATTACATCCCCAGAAGGCAGCTATTAATAACCTGCAGAATTTCCAGTTCATCATGCRCTCCCAGTGTTTGATTTGCCAAAGCTCCGCTAATGTCCAACATTCTCAAACCATTCAGCCAAGACCCTCTCTCCAAGCAGCCTGAACTCTCCCCGCCATCCAGGAATTAGTCTGACGCTTCATTCCGGGCAGTGCTGGGCTGTGTGGTCTGGCCTATGTTTAAGTTGGTGCTGCGGTGCGACAAAGCAGCGAGGAGGGCGAGTTATTGGGCAGCTATAAAGAGATAAAAGGCAAGTTGGGCCCCCAGAGGAGAAGGGGGATGTCACAGCGCTGTTAAATGAGTGGCAAAATATCCTCCATTTAGCAGAAATGTCAAAAGAAGCACAAGCACACCTCCACTGAGACAAGCAGGCGAGGTTTTCAGCACCTCTGAAGGTGAGGGGCTTTTGTAGAGAAGGCACTGGTATTTGCGAGATATTCAGGGGAGGAAAAAGGAAAATTTTTACCGGGAAGCAGCAAAGAGCTGTCGGATGCCAAGCCTTTGATTACTTTTTTAACTTCCAAGGGAGAAAGATGAAGGAGGGCAGGGAAGGTAATGATGAAAAAATGTGACAACAGGCTCCCTTCCTGTCTGCCACCACAGGAGCGTTAAAGTGCCTGATGTTTGTGAGCACCAAACGCCTCACAAACAGCCTGGCTTTGCAACACACACACACACACACACACACACAGAGAGAAGCTCACACACAGATCCATTCGATAAAGGACAAAACATTTATACTGCATCTGCAGATGTCCCGCTTGATATAAAGACAGCAGCTGAACAGAAAAAAAAAAACGTAGGACAGGACACAGCGGTCAGTACGAAACAAAGCTGAGATGAATCATGAGGTGTTGACAAGAGCTCAACGCCTCCAGCTAAATTCTATTTTCTGACACATTTTAGAGAAGCCAACATGATGCAGAAGTTTCTCAGCTTTTAACATTAGATTACTCTTCTTAGTGCATCATGGGAAGTTACAAACATTCACACTTTTTTAGTGGAAAGGTCAAAAAGGTCACAATTTTCTTATTTTTTAGTTCTTGTTTTCAGCAGAGAATAAAAAGAAATCTCCAATTAACTTGTATTTAAATGGTCACAACATTCAGAATGTGTTATTTTAATATTATTTCCAAAATACAATTAAACTCTAAATTTGATTTGTAACAAAATAACTCAATTATAATATGTTCATCACCTGTAAGCACTTTAACCTCTTCAGCCCCAAGGCGTGCTCTGGAAGTTTGTGCTTGAAATAACATGCCAATACGTGATGGAGTGGCTCAGCATTGAAAAACTCGACTTAAATAATCTTGGCGTCAAAATAAAGCTAAGACCAGAAGTTTAAGTATTAAAGCAGCTGCTGTTGTTTCAGAGATAATGAGGCTAAAACAGTACCTCATCTTAAGTTTTTCTGTATTAAACAGTATATAACCATTTTAAAAATATATAACAAATAAGCCTAAAAACTCTTGTAAACTATAAACTGACATGTGAAAATTGCCTGTGCAAATATTTGTGCTGCTAAAATAGAGCAAAGTTGCAGAGGTGGTAATAAACATAATAATAATAGGGCGGGCCTATGGTCATTCTGCACAGGATGGACCATTTTGTACCATCAATAAGTTTTTGTGATTTTTTATTGCAAAAATTAATTTTTTTTTTGTTACATGCTTAAAAAGACTTGTTTTTAAATGTTTTATTTTTTTATTTAGTTTTATTTCTCACCCTTTTCATATAGGACACTGAGTGATTATATTTGACTTCAACTCAAGCATATTTTTACTCTAAACCAAGTTTAGAAAAGAACTTTCACTTTACAACATATTTTGACATTTGCTTTGACTTGCATTTCTAAAAAATAAAAAGAATTAAAAGTCAGAAAGATCAAAACATTTTTACAGATTTGCATTGACACCATTTTGTACAATTAGTCTCAGATTCAACAGCTTGTGATTTGAACTGTTTGATGAATGTAAAAATGCTTTTTATGAGCTTTCAGCCAAGCTTTGTACATCTCTGTGGCTCCCGAATAGGTTTATGTTTAAATGGCAAATCTTAACAGAAGTTAAAGAAATAGAAAACAGGAAGTGCAGTTTTGCCCTTGCAGTCCACGTTAGAGGGAGTTAAGCATTAGTGTTGTGTTTTACCATTTAGATCTTGACTTTTTTTCTGTGAGCTTGTCCTGTGAACAAACCCAGACCCTGAAGCCCCGCAGGCGAGCGTTTATCTCACCAGGTATTCAATTTTTACCGTCAGAACCAGGTTTAGCGACAGCTTGAACGATGATCACGAATTATCCACAAAGACTTTTCAGTCTGTAGTTAACAAATTCAATTCGGGGAGAAAAATCTTTGGGAAATAATACGTTACACTGGGAGAGCAACCTCTAATTTATTAATAACGACTGTTTTAAAGTGCTGCCTCAGCTTGATCCAGACAAACTCTGCTTATCAATGCAGTTCGAAAAYAGTACAGCTAACTCAACCTGAGCTTGCTCTTCATCCCTCATCAACTGTATCTGTTTCTGTGGTAATGTGTATTGACTCAAGATGTTATTACACACCCTGCACACAAACAGCGCTTCCACCCGTTTTTAGTCCCACTTCAGAATCTCAACTCTCAAATGAAATCATCATTTGTCTGGCACGGGGCTGAAGAAGACCACTTTCATATTTCACCCGTAATGAAAGCTGATGCTAACTGAGGCCTGTCAGATGGTATTAAACATTACAACGAGGCAAAAAAGGGAATATCAATCACGCTGATGAAATAGCTTATTTGTCATATGTTTACAGCCCTATTTACCTTTTTGGACTCTTGCTCAAAACGAATGACAAATTATGCGCTGCCCAGTGTGCATTTCTCTGCTGTGGCAGCAGTGCATCATAGGCATAAAAAAAGAGAAAGAAACGACAGATAGAAACAATTAACTAGAATAAGTTGTTTCAGGTTGGGTAAGTTGTACAAAAAAAAAAAAAAAAAGCAGCGAGTGATGGATTTGCTGTCCAGTCGGTGGCATGCTGTCACTAAAATCCATCAAACGTCTCACTGTAGCGCGCTAGCTGCCCATTAGTTTCCTCCCAGACTCCCCATGTYTGCAGTTCAAACTTACGGCCTTGCTGATCCCTGCAGTTCGAAACAGTTTGAAGCAGCGTTGCAGAATACCAATGAGTCTAATTAATCTGTTTTAATAAACAGCAAAATGTATACTGCAGGACGGCGTTGGAGAGAGAAAGAGGCTAAGTAAGAGGGCAGTATGTTTTCAATTAATGTGCACTTTCTTCTTTTAAGCCCAGTGTGTGTGAGTGTGTGTGTGTGTGTGTGTGTG